TTTCATTTGTCAGAATGTCAGATCTCCGTGGGACACCCTGTATATATTTATTCATAGAGAGAGAAAGCTAGGTGATGGAGGGAGAATGATAAGAGTGTGAGAGTGAGTTTAGTGAAAGTGATAACCTAACAATAACTAACGTTCTATAATCTTGATGAAGATAACATTCGTAAATTATCGTAATATCACTTTGATAAGAAAATAACACATTWTAATGGTAATAGGTAGATTCTTAAGTTGGATAATTATTTTTTGGAAAAKTAATCTGTGATAGACTGCGAAAAGTAATAATGCAACGAAGATTTTTCCGTCGTCCTTTCCAATCGATACTGATAAATGTCAGAGAAAATGATAACCGATAGGTGTCCAAAAGAAAATATTCCGTTGACCGACTACATACCTAGCTAAGTACCTGTTACAATTTAAAATAAMGCAACTACTGCAGCACAGGTGCAAGACTCAAGTATACTTAAAATAATAATAATACGATGCAGATCGTTGCCACCGACCTGTCGTGTTCGTAGACCTTTTGCTGTCCGCCGAAACAGCGGTTGTCAGACACCACGTCCAACTGCTGCTTCATGTTGTTAGATCACCGACAAAAATCCTGATTACCAATGCGACCGTGTACGCCGCGGGAACTCGACTGCGCGTGAACCAAACTGCTGGCGCCTACTGGGCCCAATGGCGGGTGGACCGCAGACAACCTATGTCGGTATCGGGCAGCACCGGCGCACYGAGTCGACGAGGTCGTGCGAAAAATTATKACGTCGTCGGATCGTTGTTGGGTGCCGTATCGTTCCGGAGCACGCACTGTGCCGATCGATACGTGAAAACCGGTTAGCGCAATAATGACGTAAGTTCGACCAATAACCGTCAACAAATTAAAATTGGCACGCCACTAAAATCACTAATCATTTTTACACTTTCGCCGTCTATACACCGTACACGGACAGCGCAAATTAATTTATCTTATCTTCAGTGCAGCGTGAACAATTCGTGAAATGACATGTGCATCATTATCAGCCATAACCGTTTATCACAATAATATCACGATTTACGAACGTCGAGTGTCGACTGTCGACGCGCCACAATGCCCGAACTCCCGAAGCCCCAAAATGAATCGACGTGCGGCGGTGCCACGACGACGTTTTCCGGCGACAAACGGCGGGACCCGAGTTTGCGGCCTAATTCCTTAGCCCAGTGGTCCGTGTGGACTTCATAATATTGTTATAATAATATGTCTTGCCTATGGCGATATATTTTSTTCACCGTGTCACGGTCTCGCGGAATGCCAAGTCGTTGGTATGTACGCCACCGCCGCCACCGCATGTGACCTATAATATAATGGTAATAATACTAATAATAATAAGATGGCCTAGTTGACCCAGTAGTGTGTGGTTAGTGGAATACAAAACCAATATGGCGTTTATGATATTATTAAATGATATAAATATAGTAATAAATAATAATAATTGTGTCGACGATCGATTTATAATTATGTAAAATAGTTCACACGTCATATTATAGGTATAATTAGTGTATTACAAAGAAACGTTTACAGCCGATATACCTGTACATAATATTATACTTCCATATAAATTTAAATATAATAGGAAAAACATTTAAAATAGATATTAAATAGATTATTTTTATCAAATTAATTAGGTACCTATGCAAAAATCGAAATAATTGAATAATAAGTGAAATTGATGTGAACTCTTCCTGAACAA